TATATATAGCGACTCTAATCAGATATCTCAGAGAATAGTTATCTTTGTTTTCAATAAATTTGTGAAATTCTGTAAATATATTTGCGACTTACTACCTACTCAATAACAATTTCTAAAAACATAAACACTAGCCATTGTTAATTGTCGACATTGTGGTGAATATAAAACTAAATAAATATATCTTTAAGGATATTCACATCATGTGCCGGCCCGTATGGAACAAAGAGAAGGTAGGTAATGATGAAATATTTTTATGAAGTTTATTAGTCACTATAATTGAGGATGTAACTCTGAACTAAAAATATGAATAGATATACTGTCTATCTCTGCCCACATGTAGAAATTGCAAGCGAAAGTTATTAAGGTCCGTAGAATATATGTTAAAAGTGAAATATATTCTTTTAACAATAGTCAAAGGTACCTATGGAGTTCATTTAATTAAAATATCGTAATTTAGAATTTTAGATATTATAATACTCAGTTATTGTTATGTTACTACGGAATAACTACTTGTGTAACATTTTACTAATGTATTTAATATCTACAAAATAAAATCTTGTCATATCAGTTTAACGGAAAATTTACAAGTAGACACTTTGACAGAAAATTAATTAAATTAAAATATTAATTGTTAAGCGCTGTTGATTTGTCGATTCTGTTTGATTAATAATAAACAATACTTCTGCACAGTTTGAAGCAAATCGTCGAATGCAATTAAAAGTTTGATATAACGATTTGACATTTGAAACAAGATGTAGATATTTTTTATATAAGGATTGTGTGAATTATTCACCATGTAAGTTTTTTGCGAGGAAATGTAACATAGTATATTACTAGAGACAGCTCTAGCGTCCCATCCCATCTGTTATATATTATACTAGCTATGCTAATAATAAATTTCAAAATAAAATATAAGCTATGTGTTATTCTGATGCATAAGCTATATTACTGTAATGTTTCATCAACATCTGCTCACGAGGTTTTGTATGAAAGAGTAACAAATATCCATACTTATAAACTTTCGTGTTTATAATATTATTAAAATATATAAAATTGTCATAATCGATATAGAGGTTTAGGCGTGTATTATAACAAGCAAACAACATTTACATTTGTATGTATAATATTCAGTTTTGAATTTTATTGTATTTGATATAGTAAACAAGCTGACAGCCCGTCAAAAATGGTAACCATTTTTCATCAGACGGGCTGTCAGCTTGTAGACACTCATAAACCTGAACAGGCACCACAAACGTCACAGAATAAATTAGTTATGTGTCTAATAATAATACATTATTATAAAATTTATTAGCTACTCGCCCCGGCTTCGCCCGGGTGTTTAGTACATGTATTATACATATAAAACTTCCTCTAGAATCACTCTAATCAATTGAAAGCGCTTCAAAGTTCGTTACGTAATTTTAAAGATTTAAGCATACATAGGGACGGACAGACAGCGACAGCGACTTTGTTTTATACTATGTAATGATAATAACTACATTATACCCTTTTAATTGTGAAATAAATGTAGTTTTCTTAAAATTACAAATTAAAAGTAAGACGTAAGTAAGCAATTGAGTGTCTTCAGTCGGTAAAATACTATAAAATCAAAACTGATTTAGTCTAGGTAAAAAGTATTGTAGGTTTGAAAAAGAGAAATAAATAATGTATGTGGTTAACAAATTGTCGGCCCATAGTTTAGAATGTTGACTACTTCTATTCTGGCCACTGATGAAGCGACGGATAACTATTACACAACGCTAATAATTATTACATTTAACTGCCAAATCATACTATTATATTACTTTTGTACTGCTAAAATTATAAATGTGGTAGTAATTGGTTGTAACTGAATTAGGTTGGGAACGTTTATATTCAAAACAAACTAGAATACTTTTTCCAAAATATTCATACCTACATATTCGGGAGGAGACACAAGTATACTGTAACATACATACATATACCTATTTTACAATGATCCTTATTTACTTAGATGATTGTTTCTGAATTAATATCGTATAAATGGTTGGTTGAACTTCAAAGAATTTATTGCAATTAAACTCCTCCATATAGCTAATTATTTGTATTGCCATTTCATTAGTATAGTGACGAACTTTGTTGGGTAGTAGGAAGAGTAGCTTTAATGGGCCCATTCCTATGCGCGTCAATACTCTCCCTGTCCCACTAAATACGGTATGAATCCGCCAATCCATCCAATATTATCAATTACCTTTATATTATTTCTGTTTTATAATAATAACTCCCACCTGCAACTCATGTTACGTCAGTTATATGTCCATCTATCTATCAATCTACTTCTCAGTGTTATCAACTTACATGTCATTTCCAGTATTAACACAATATTTTAGATAAAATTCTACTTAAACAAAACCTAACACTGTAATAAAGAGAAAGAGCAATGTATGCATTTTCCAAATAGGTACTTTCACTGTTAAAGGAATTATTCCATAGTAACTGGGCAGTCAGTATAACCTCTTCTGATTTTTATCATAATTCACACAGGCGAAGCCGCAGGGTACAGCTGGTAATATTATGTATTTTTGTGTGCAGGCAGCGTGAACAGATGTATGATATCACATTGCCGCTCCCTTTCATTTTTAAACTACGCTGCAGAATAATTACCGGATACTTTAGAGGTGGTCAATACAAAAGGTAACCTATATTGTTGCATATTTTTAGCATGTATGAATATAATAGCTGTGGCCGCTACTTCGTCCGCGTGAAGTTACCTTGGATAGCAATTTAATTAATTCGACTTAGAAGTAAGATATACATGACATCATTTTAGCTTCAAAAAAATTTACGAAATTCCATATAAACTGTAATCCAAAAAAAAAAAAATATTCATAGATAAATTAAAGGTAATTTTATCAAACTTAATTAAATTAATTTATATTTAATCAACAGCCTAAAAATGAGTTTCAAGCTTGTATTTTTTAGGATAACGATACTTCTATACAACCTTTCATATCCCCTTTCAAACTTTTTTTGCATAAAAAAGTGGCCTATGTCCTTTCTCAAATTCTGGACCCAGTGTTTCCCAACCCTTTTAGTACCATTCCCCAACTTAGCCTTTCTAAATTTTATATAGACTGGTCTAGACCATCTGTGTACCAAATTTCATTTATATCGTTTCAGTAGTTTTGACGTGAAAGCGCAACAGATAGACCAAGTAATTTCGCATTTCAAAAATTCTAAGTAAGGATTCTATAATCTTTATGAACATAAGTAGTGAGTACAGTCTACAATTCCTCATAGTTATGGGTTATATATTTTTACGGATGATAATGGAATGGTATACGCTGGCAGCGTTGGTACAAGTGAATGAATCGCTATTTATGTCATGTCGTAAATATACTTATGCACAAAGTACAAATTTCAATGTAAAAGCGCCTAATAGAGAAATAGCATATAATAGTAATGACGAGTAGATTATTACTAACACAAAATCAACAGGCGCATCTGATTGAATGTTTCACCATTATTAGTTAGGAGCGAAGAGGTAAAAAGGAAGTTATATAAAAAATCTCAGGTTTACTTATTCGCCTTACATGTGTATATATGTATAATATTTATGTATAATCCGCCAACTTTCATTTATAGGGATTGGCCTTCCGCCACTCACGCTTTCCTAACAGATGACTGCATTTGGCGTCCGTTGCAGGCTCCTTACACAGGGCCTCACAAAATTTTCTGTAAACGTGACAAAACCGTCACTCTAGAAGTCCAGGGTAAAAAAATGGAGGTCAGCTTGGATCGTGTGAAGCCTGCTCATTTCATGCACGAGTCCTCCCATCCATCCACATTTTCATCTTCCATTCCTTCGACTTCATCTTGTCCGCCAATCACAACTTATCCTCATTCGTCACCAGTATCTTCCTCACAAACACCCTCGCCCTCCTCGTCACAATTTATTCCTTCTAATCAATCTATTTCAACCGCAAAACCTATGGTTACCAGGTCAGGACGGAGAGTTCGTTTTAGGGATGTTTTAGATCTATAGTTTATTATTTTTTTGTTTTTTTTTATTGTCTTATTATTTTGTTATTTTTTTTTTCGTGGGGGTGGTGTGGCGAATCTACAGACAGCGCGTATCAACACCTTTGCCTGGCGACACAAGAGGGAGAAAAATAACAATCCTGTCATAGGGGACCGAATCACTTCTTTTCTTATATAATTTCCATTTATATTATTATTATCATTCACTACTGTAAATAATATAAGAATACACATATATATACAAAGCCACGACTGGTCTCATTCTATCATCGCTTTTCCTGCTGCTGCCTATAATAGATGAACACTGGATATATAAGTAATAGCGGTAACAATCTACCCGCTAAAATGTTATACGTACCACAACTACATCATATTATACATATATTTAAAGTACCTATATTAAAGGTAACGTATCCGGTTTCCACCAATGTACGTATGAAATAAAGATAACAACGTTATTTTAAATATTATTTCCTTTAGGAAAAATTCTTTTTACTTTTAGAAAGGAAAAATGTATTATTAAATATTATTATACATATAAATCAAAGATTCATGTGTTTGATTTTGACTAACGTAAGCATGTGTCAATTTTTAGTTAAATAGAGTGAAGTAAATACTTTTACATTTTGTATATTTATTTTATTAAATAATAATAATTATTATTAAAACAACAAATGTTAATACCTCTCACACCAAATTTATTTACACTAGTCATGTATACTATATAAGCCAGAAGAAACCACATTTGGCATTTGTTTAAAATTTCAAAAAGTAAGGTGCCCGAATGAAATTGTTGAATGAATAAAAAAGCTTATAAGCTGATTATATTATATAAAAAAATACCATTGTCCTTACAGGAAAAACAAGTATATTTTATAAGTGTACTAAATAAGTAGTTTCCTATAATTTCTTTAAAGCAACTTCATGAAATTTTATGAATTTCGCAAATTTAAAATAAAAATATATAAGAATTTTTGTAAACAAAATATACATATTTAAACCATTTAAAAAAAATAGTTCATGTTCGTTTTTCTAATCGTATAAGATGTCCGGAAACTGGAATCAACAGTATTTCCATTTTCAGACGATCGCAGGCTTTTGCCGTCACCTTGTAATTTCTGAGCACATTTCCGAGGATACATTTCGCTACAAGCATTCCATATTTTTTCCCTGCAAGTAAATATTATTATATAATATTACAATATCCATTCCTATGATAAATTGAAACAGTATTAGATTTTAGAAGAATGAAATTGATTGCCGTTGTAATATAAAGTAGCACAAATGGCAATGATCCGGATCATTGCCATTTGTGCTTGTATTTCATTGGGCAAACAGACGTATCACTTTGAAGCTTCTCCAAATCACATTGCAAGTTATCTTGAAGCGTAACTCTGAGTAAAGCCATCCTTGGCTGAGTAAGATATTGTATAATGTATTTAATATTCAATGATGTTATTACCTATGCAGTTCCTAAGCCCATGACTGAAGGGTATATATGCGCAAGGATGTCTATCAACACTATTTTCGGGTAGGAATCGATCTGGATTGAAGAGGTCAGCATCGGGACCCCACAGTTTCTTGGATCTGTGCATTGCATATAGAGGCACAATACAAGCAACACCTGATGGCAACGTGCAGGTAGCTGTAACAATAATGTTGTATATATACATGTATGTTGTGATCACAACAATAAATATACATTTCCTTCAAAAATGATATCTTACACGTTCTTAGAATATTGTTTCATTAAATATATGTTTGTAATACAAAATTTATAATTTGTTTTAAAATTTTAAATAATTAAATAAAACCTAAAGATATTTCAATGTCACATAAGCTGTATTATCTACTTACATACTATGTATATAAAAAGAATAAAGATGTTCTTACTATTTATTCTGTTAATATAAAATAGGTGAGTAAGATAATTTAAGGCCAATTTATTATTCACAAGTAAACTTATTCTTCTGAATTCAATTCTGTGTAAGAAGTTCATACAAAGTACTATGTTCTGTCTACTCTATGATGAACTTGGATGAAAATAGAGAGATGAATAGTTATTTCAGTAATATTTCAGTCTTCAAACCGGAATAGACCATGTAACTGTATTCGTTATTAATTCCATAATAATTACATATATTTGTAAATATTTTACTTGAGTATAAAATATGAACAATAATTAATAATTATGTATGTACTAACACAATTTTAATTCGCTTGTTGTTTCTCTTGCAATCATTGGTGTTACAGTATATAACCGCATCGATTCCTTTATTACTCTTTCTAAATAGTCCATCTTGTATAGATCATCTTTTGTCGTAATTCTCTCAGAATTGCTAAATATTTCTTGTAATCTGGAAATATTAATTAATGTGCATATTGTACATACATATTGAAATCGAAATATATACGATATCGTTTGATTATACCCACGTAAACGGAGACAATTTGTAAGTATTGTGAAACTAGTGTTGATGTACATTTTGGTATCACCTGTCTTTAAAGTAAATGTGTAAATTTGTTCAGTTTAATTATATATTAAATTTTTGCCATAAAAGATAAACAATTACGACTATATGATATGATTCTCTTTCCATGAAGAATAAATAATTGAAACATGTATTTTACTGACGTAAATCGTTGGGCAATCGTGTCTGTGAATGAATTTGCATAACATTATTATTAAGGATCCTCCCATTTCCTGCAATCAAGTCACTGGCTATAGGATAAGACGTAATTATTACAGAAAAACCCAACAAGATAAAAGAGTTCAGCAGCGGCAGACACTTTTATACAAGCAGTATACATTTGATATTTGTTTATACGTTTGAAATTGCAATAGACATTATTACCTATTCATTAAAAATTAAATTAATAATTTTGAATATCGAACCTCTAACATCAGAGTGCGTGTTGGTATAACCACAGATAAGCGTATAACTAGAAATACACAGCGTACCTACTCTGCTGGTACACTCACGGCCTCATAAAGAATTAGGTATCTAATGCGCAAATCTATTTTTATTTATTACTGGGCCATATTATACCACCAACCAAATAAACTTGTAAAAATTAAACATTTGATTAGTTATTTTTTTTATCAGATCAGATCAGCTTATTGTCATATGCCATTCCGGTAACAGCACAGTTAACCATATGTTCTGTAGTTAAGTGAGATCGAATATATGATTTTGATATAACATACGTCGCTGAAAAAAGACTATAAATTAATGTATTTTGTAAATTTACTCATTGTAGACAATTTCTTGTTCGTGTTGATGTATCCCCAGCAAGAGAAGCGTGTAAGATATAACAAGCGCTGTAGTGTCATTGCCGGCGATTGTGATTGCATCCAAATGTTCGCGAAGTTCCATATTATTGAATTCTTGATTTAACAACAGTTCCAGTAGATCCTTGCGACCTGAAAGCATGCATTTTAGTTAGGTAATACCTGTAGTTTGATCATCAACATATAAGTATACCTTTAAGGTATATTATTAATTATTAATTTTGTCAAAGCATTAATTTTTTTACTTCATTAGGCAGACTAAAATATACAAGCTGTAATTATTTTACTGCAATATCTAAATCTACTCGTAGTTCTGCCCGGCTTGTAAAGTTGTAGTTATTAGTATAGTAGTGAATGTTTATATGATTATACAAATATGAAATTAATTAACAGAGTTTGTTAGCAGTGCTTACCTTCCTTATGTTTACCATTTTGATACATAGTTCTTCTTTTTTCTATAACCTAGAGACAACATATAAAATAATGAATAGGTATTTTAATATATAGGTACGTAGTTTTATTTTTGTTCAATATTTATCCTTGTGGTGTATACACTGTTTATGATGCTTTGAATTAATTAGCTTTATGTGAAGGCATACCTTCATTGAAGAGCAAGAAAATGCTATCTTTTTTGTATCAGTTATAACTATAATATTCGAAAAATAAAGGGGCGAAGTGTTTGACGAGTACACGTGCGTTAGTGAGAATTTAAATTTAAATTAAATTAAGTCTTTTGTACGACACTTTAAATCTTTTTGGTGTATTGTGTTAGTGCTGTATATGTGTGTTGGTGGTGGTTAGTATTAGTTAGTAGTAAAACTATTTGTATAAACTAATTTTAAATAGTAAATCGACTTAGACACAACATGGATGGCAATGAGCCTCCTGATGAACCCCCCGACCCATCTGGTGACTTATTTGTTTATTCACCTGTCTTAACAGTGCCATCAGAAGATTTCGAGACTTCAACTAGGAAAAGAACCCTAGACCCCACTTCAGAAAATCCAACTCCTAATAAAGTAGCAAAACAGGTAGTAGGGCGAGTAAAATACTCACATGCCGATAAATCCCGCTATCTTGTTTACGTATCACGGATAGAGACAGACTCTCAATCAGGCACTACCATTCATCCTATTAAGTTTGGACAATTTTTATATCAAAATAAAATTGCTAATATTCTGCCAGATGGTGTTAAACGTGTAGGCCGCAATAGAATATCGGTAGAGTTTACAACAGCTGCTGACGCAAATGCATTCCTATCTAACAGTTTATTAATACAAAAAGGCTATACAGCAGTTATTCCATCATATAATGTCACTAGGGTAGGTCTTGTCCGTGACATTCCAACAGATTGGACTCACGAAGACATAATAGAAAACATAAAAGTCCCAACTGGTTGTGGACAAATTATTAAAACAAGAAGACTATCAAGAAAAGTTACTTCCGATGAATCAGTTGAGTGGAAACCTACTCAAACAGTAGTTTTAACATTTGATGGACAAACCTTACCAAAACATGTTTTCTGTTGTTATAATTCTCTTCCTATAGAGTTATACCAATATCCCATAGTTCAGTGCTATAGTTGTTGCCGATATGGTCACACAAAAGATAAATGTAGATCGAAGCCAAGATGTTATAAATGTGGGCAGAACCACCTAGGTTCCTCCTGTGACTTTTCAGAAACTGAAGCTTCTTGCCTTCACTGTTCTGGACATCATTATGCAACTAACCGAACTTGCACTGAATATCTAAGACAGAAAAACATAAAAGCTATGATGGCTGAACAAGCAATTTCATATGATGAGGCATCTAAACATATTCCACCTGCTACCCGTTCATATGCAGACGTCACAGCTTCAATGTCTCATCGTCAACCTCCTACATCCTATCACCAACCTAAATTTACATCTCAAAACAAATTAGGAAAATCAAATCAAAACGCTACAACATCGTACAAAAAAACTATTTTCCTAAAACCCAAATCCCGCCCTGCCCAGACACCTGGGTATGACCGTCATGCCCATGAAGAAATTGTTAATAGTTATGTCTTTCCCTCTACTATGAAAAATGGTTGTGCTCTTTCAAATAATCCTCCTTCTCCATCTAGTGACTCCCCACAAGAAAACCCCCTTAAGACTTTAGAACTAATACTTAATATGTTAACTTCATTCATATCGGATAATAATATAATAATTCCAGACCACGTTGCTGATCAAATTGTATCTCTTGCTTTTATCAAAAACCATAATGGATCTAAAAGTCCTACAATGGATTGCTAGAAGCCTATCTCTTACCTTACTAAAAAATACCAACCCACAATTCTCAGTATAACTGAATCTTGGCTAAGGCCAGGTTCAGTTTTTAACTTTCCTGGATATTGCAGTTATCGGGATGACAGACAGGATGGTTATGCTGGATCTGTCATCTTAGTTGAGAACTCACAGTCTAGTTCTCTCATCAATCTACCTCCTCATGCTGATGATATCAATATTGTTGCTGTGAGAGTTTTAGACATCTCCATAGTTTCCATTTATGTTGCTGATCCTCAATCTTGTTTGATTCCCTATTTAAAAAGTATAATAGAAAATTTACCCCCACCAATTCTGGCCCTAGGTGACTTTAATGGACATCACTTTTCATGGGGATCTGAAACCTGTGATCATTTTGGTTCACTATTATCATAGGTAGTAGATGAATTAAACCTATGAGTTCTTAATGATGGTTCTCCAAGTCGTAGAACCTACCCAGGTCAACGCAAAATTTGTGTTGATGTCTCATTATGCTCCCCAGATCTAGCCTCTCTTTTCCATTGGTCGTGCTTACCAATGTCTCACAGTAGTGACCATTTCCCGATTCTCATCTCTTTACCATCTAAGATACTTTCACAGAAAAATCTACCACCTCTATTGAAATACCGCCTATCTGCAGCTAATTGGGATTTATATACTGAGTTGACAGAAAATAAAACTAACTCTTTACCTATAATAAATCGAAATAACATTTTAGTCGCATATTCAAAGATGATAGAAGTTGTTGACAGCAGTGCGAGCGAAAGCATCCCTCTCAAAAAGCCTAAACGACAGAAAGTTTCACCTCCGTGGTGGGACAAAGAGTGCACTGCAATGATAAAATCCCGTAACGAAACAGAATATGCTTATAATACTGACATGACATTAGAAAAGTTCATCAAATTTAAATGTACATCTGCTAAAGCGAAACGCTTGTTCCATAAGAAGAAACGAGATAGTTGGAAACAATTTTGTGACAGTCTCACACCTCGCACACCTTCATCTCTTGTTTGGCGTAATATTAATAGGTACCGAAAGGCATGTATTTCTCGAGGCTCCTCAGCAATGTCAAAGGAAACAGTAGAAATATTATTTGACAAACTGGCCCCTCCATCAGTACCGGCTCAAGACGTATGCCTCACCAGCCTTAATAATTTTACCGTTCAGGACAGTGTTTTAGATGATACATTTACCATGGATGAATTAAACATCACTCTTTCTAGTGTACGTGACTCCTCCCCGGGAGTTGATGGGATTCCTTATTCATTCATTAAGAATGCTGATCCATCATTGAAACGGTACTTTTTAGACATACTAAATTACATTTACAAATTTTGCACACTGCCTCCTAATCGGAAAATACAAATTATTATCCCTATTTTGAAACCCGGTAAACAACCAGATAATGCAGAAAATTATCGCCCTATTGCCCTATCATCCACACTTATGAAGCTATTAGAACACTTAATAAAAAACAGGATAGAATGGTTTGTGGAAAGTAAAGGACTTCTCTCCAAATCCCAGTTTGGATACCGCAAGGGCTTTAGTACACTGGATAGCATAGGAACACTTGTAATGGATGTGAGGGCTTCATTTGTTAAAAAACAGTCAGTGGTAGGAGTATTCCTTGATATCTCAGCTGCATATGATAACGTTTGTCTTTCAGTACTCAGGCACAAGTTGCAAAATCTGAATATCTCAGCAAAGATGATCCGGATTATATGCAGTCTACTAATGGAAAGACAAATCAGCCTCCGTGCTCTAAATAATCCCAGTCAAGCAAGAACTGTCTGGACAGGTTTACCACAAGGCTCAAAGTCCCTTGCTATTTAGTATTTATACTCATGATTTACATCTATCATTGAATGACAATTGCCGCATACTTCAATATGCAGATGACTTGGCTCTATACATCTCTGATAAGGATATTTCCTCTGCTATATCCTCTATGCAGATATCGCTCGACTCTCTTAATACGTAAACATAATCTTAAATTATCACCTACAAAAAGTAGAGTTGTCATATTTTCCAGAAGACGCTCAATACCTAGTTGTGCTCTGGAAATTGCTGGTATCCCTATCCCAACAAACAATAAGGTGAAATTCCTTGGTGCGTACTTAGATTCAAGGCTGACAGGTGTTCCCCACTTAGAATATATAATAGCCAAATGTGAAAAAAATATTAACATCCTTAGAGCTCTAACTGGCGTCTGGTGGGGTGCTCATCCGTATAGTCTAAAGCTTGTATACAATGCACTGATAAGAAGCGTTATGGACTACGCAATTTTTATACTCTTACCATGCAATAAAATGGCTATACATAAGTTAGAAGGCATTCAGTCAAGGTGCCTGCGTATAACAGGATGCATGAGATCATCTCCTCGTAATGTAGAATGTGTAGACCCCCTATTCTATTGCGTCAGCAATATCAATAGATTCTTATATAAAGCATTTTATATCAGCAGTTCCCATACTAACATCTGTAAAGGAACTGAGTGATCTCTCTCCTGTTAATGTTCCACCGATTATCAAAAGTTTTCGTAGACTGAAAGAATTGATGGAACATGCGCCTATGAACAGGGTAACTAAGTGGCCGTTATATAAATATAGTTATGGCTCATTAATATTTCAACCGAACGTAATATTAGAGACTGGCATACATAAAAATACAATCGAAGCAAATTTGGAATTTAACATTTATGTTGAAAATTACTGGAAATATCATCACCGCTTTTTTACAGATGCCTTTATCAAGTACAAGTTGCACAGGATTTTCTGTGTATGTAGATTGCGCATAGGGCATTGTTGCTCACCAGTATTTTTGCATAAACTTAGAATCAGAGATAACTCCCTTTGTGAATGTGGATATGAGGAGGGAGATTTAAACCATATTTTCTTCTCTTGCCCACTAAACCGCTCCAATTTAGTGTATCCACAGCTTATTAAAGAAAAAATTCCCCTGCCAGTCAACTTAGCGAATATTTTAAAAATTTCCTTTGAAAATCCTAATGTTTTATGGATAATTGTAAATTTCATTAAAAGTAATAACATTAAAATCTAAATATGTATTAATTAAATAAATTGTAACCTACTTACAAAATATATCTACCTATATATTATATATGTACTCTATTAACTACTAACCAAATTTGTGTTGTCCTTTCCAGTTTCTACACCAGAAAGACTAAAATTACTTAGTCTTTTGGATATACTTTTTGTCTCCAGTGCGTGCCTCTGATACATGACGCTGGCATAAATGGTCGTAAAAATAACGACCGATTGCCATAGAAGAAAAGAAGAAGAAGAAGAAGAACTATAATATTCAGGACAGGGTCAAGTATTTTTACCCAAACATAGTGAAGCAAAAAAGCAAAAATCACTCATCTACTGTAACTGTGAAGGGAAATAAATGTCAAGGCAGTTTTTGTTAATATTTGTTGTCCCTGCATTACATACCTCCTCAGTAAATTTACGTGTAAGATAAATATTTTCTTGTTGTGTTTTGGAATAAGGTGTTAAGTTAAATAACGCGTCTACTTGCAACCATGGTTTGAATATACGCATATTTATGATAGACATAACATAGTTGCGCGCACGTAGATAAGGTGAATCTGCGGTATGCTGTAAATCCATTTTTTCGCCCATTGCTGTCACTGGAATTGAATAATTTAGGTACTTATTATTTCGATTTCTACTTGAGTGTCCAAATAAATCAGATATCTTATAAGATATTTCTGCTATGTATATCTTTCTGTACACAAACAAGTTTTAAGTTATATACAGAAATACACTTTACATCTGAATTATACCTACACTTATTTTGGGTGTAAAGAACAAACAAAATTAGAAATTTGTTTGTTCTTTAAAAACCTTAAGTACATGCTGATCAAAATTAATTCGTTATGAAGGTATAATGTACGAGTACAAATTAGTTACAACTCTATAAATTAGTGTTGGCAAGTTGTGTAACCATAAAAATATTGTGGGTAGATACTAGGTACTCGCTGGTCAAAATATGCATCACATATTGGGAATCCAAGATACAAAACATGTATATTGCGTCATGCAAATATTTACAAGTGGATTTGATGCTTACAGATTACCTGTGTTATTTTCATTTATATCTTGAATTTTATAACTTGAGAAAAATAAACAAATTGTGAAAGTACATAGATTGTTTATTAGAATTAAAGAATTTATTCAAAATGATTCTAATGGGGTTTAGTCTTCGACAGTATTTATATTCATGAGTTTTCTAAGCATATACACATATACAAAAATATTTAATTAAATATATCTACTAATTGTCTAGTTTACAAAACAAGCTCTGCTTAGTTTAGGAATGCACTTGACCGCAATGCACTTTATGAATTGTTTAGGATTACTCATTTCATATTGTAATGTTATGGCTATGTATACTTACTAAATGAAATATCCAACGTGCAAGATGTAATATGTTTAAATACATCAAACTCTGGCTTTCCAATGTTCTCATCTAGTCTTTTCACAAGTGTTACTGCTTCATTATGGAACACTTCTATATAGTCCTCTATAACACGATTAGCGAATATTGGCACGAGAGCGCGTCTTTGTCTTTTCCATAAATTAACTGAAAATATAAATGTTTTTGCATATATTTAGATTCATCAATTAGGTATTCTCTAAATAGAGTCAAAGAACTTATACATGGTCTTTCCTTACATATAGGATAACTTTAAAATAAATACTAGCATCTTTCATTTTTGGATGGTAGACAAATTAAATATTTCTGTTAGATTTTATTACGGGATTGTTATGCTAAAAATTAGAATAATCAGTTTAAGTAATTGAGGTCGTGAGTGCATGAAAGACAAGAGTTAGTTATTGGGCCCATACGAGAATAGTGTTGCAAGAATTCATATTGTTTGCTATAAACAAAAACTAGAATATTTTATACGAGTACAAACTAATCTGCATGGGCGTTTTTTATCAGCAAGGCCTATAGCTTGTCTGTTATCCTAAGTGGAATAAGTAATATTAATTAATATATCTTACATGGGGCTACAAAAAGGCCGTTTCCCAACCACGTCCGTAGAAACCTGTATGAGGACTCTTTTTCGAGAGATGTTTCTAGTAGTTTTTGTACATCGTCTGGATTCGATACAACTGAAAATGTGTTAAATCAAAATAGTATATTAATTACATTGAAAAATCTTATACTGTAAAAGTAATATTATAATCTACTTATTAGCAATTTCCTTGTGCTTGATGTAAATCTTATTGGATAAACTGCATGAACTGTATGACGTGCACAAGAGGCCGAAAGGTATTATGCATGTAAATGATTCTGATTAAAAAAATGGAAATCATAGCTCATATAATACCCATATAATAGTTCATGCTATCATAGCATATGTTAGCACTGAACTATTATATGGGTAATATTATAGTTCAGTGCTAACAATACATCGTAAATATTACATATGGTGCTAGTAAGACAAGCCACGGCAAGTAATAGATATTGAAAAAGTACTTTTTAATACAGTTCAAAAGAATATTCTCAATTTAGCATTTTGTGTGTACACATGTGTGTAATGCGTAATTAATTTAAAACATCCCTTAGTATGATTTTTACTTTTGAACTCTATGCCCTATAAAGAAATATAATTTTTACTCGCAGTTAATTGTTGATACGTAAGGAACATCAGAGATTCAGTATCTTAATATCTCATTTAGCCTTTTGTCCTTTGGTTTATTTAAGGAGAGATCGTTGGCACCATATTTCGGACCTAACTGCAATAATATTTGATCATAAATTATTGTGTATTTTGCTTGCGATTGTTTGTATACATAATAACATATTATGGTTACAATAATATGCGTAACAACACAGAAAGTGTAGTACCTAAATAAATATGTACCTAAGTAAATACCTATACATATATATATATATTGTACCATCATCAAGCATCGATCGAATAAATCTATTTAATAATTATGATTAGTTGAACAAATAGTATTTCTGATTGCAAAATGATAGAAAATAGCATTTTATTTGAAATTTGAAATAAAACAAGAAAATATATATAAATTTAGGTTCTAAGAATCGAAATTGTTCTATAAATAAATAATATTAAAATAATATTAAAGGTTGCAATAACAGAAAAAAATACGCACTGTCTTGATTTTTAATTGTCTCCTACGAACCACAAAATATGCAGATAATATTAAAATACTATTTATTTATATTAATATACTACTAGGAGAGGAAGGTTATTGTTAGTAATGTGGAAATGTGGACTAATAAACCCATTGGTTCCAATGTACCATGTCAAACTGACGTCCACGCGGTTCTTTCTGGAGACCGTCGTGATTTCTCGTTAATTTGCCACAATGATCTAACTGATCTGACCTAATGATCATACTATTATCCTCCACACATGCCGGGTAGCACAAATAGCTAGTGCAGGAGCAACCATTATATTATCATCCTTTAAAATGCCTAGATACATGTAGATTTCGTAACTAGATACTAACCAACATAAAGCAAGGGGCCAACCCATAATGGACTTATACCGCCTTTTGCTTCTATAGCGTTTCCCAGTATCTGAATATTTTGCAAAATTTCTGAAAAATAAATTCAGGAATATTAAATTAATTAATTTAATTATGAAAACCTTATGGCTCCCGTATTTGTAAATATATTGATGAATAATCAAACGCTGGTAATAAATAAATCTATACTAATATCATGAAAAGGTAAAGTATATGAAGTTTGGGTTTTTTCAGGTACCTACAACTGATTTGATTTTGAAAAGTCTGGATAACCTGTTTATTCAAGCTAAATAAGTCTATATATGACGCGTAAATCAGATCAAATCAAAAATAAATCCATAAGCAGCACTGCTTTGCATCAGAAGACGTCGATACCTGTACAGCCGCCGTTACTGAAGTCATACTTGCGGGTATGGAATGTTTCATTCCAAATCTGCTTGTTTGCTTCAGGGGCGAAAAAGCGACCGTGGTTTAATAGGTCATGCAGAGAAGCCAGACAGGCTAAAGAAACTGCTTATGAGGCTGGGACCACGTTCGTTCCAACAGTGATGTTGACGTATATGTTTCGATCCAGGTTTAGTAAGAGAGTAATTGCTAGAGCTAAATTCGACTTCGTCAGAAAAATTGGGGAGCGTTTAGTCCGACATCCTTCTGGAAGTCGAGCCTTTGTGTCTTTAGTCGTCCTTACCACCACTACGGAAGCCGTATGATAACTTGGCACATAGTGCAAAAGAGAAAGCCAATTTGTTGTGCGCTCTTTTTGCCTCAAATTCGAATTTAGACACTGGGGACACCATACCCACTACCATCCCATGGTGTGGTAATCTATGCCGGAAATATCCGTAACACAACGGAGTGTCCGGCGAGAGTTGCTGTCTCTCGACGTCAACAAGTCGAACGGGCCAGACGGCATACCGGCTTTGGTGCTAAAGAAGATTTGTGTCCCGTACTCACGCGCCTCTTCGCGCTTTCATACTCCTCTGGGTAATTTCCGTCATCGTGGAAGACCACCTTTGCACCCTGTCCATAAAAGGGCGACAGGTCAAACCCATCGAACAACAGGCCTATCGCTATCACATCTTTGCTCTCCAAGGTGATGGACGTGTAATTAATACATAGTTCCTCAGATACCTAGAAGATCACGATTTATTGAGCGATCGCCAATATGGCTTCCGACATAATCGCTCAACTGGTGATATTTTAGCGTATCTCACACACCGCTGGGCTCTTGCCATCGAGAGCAAAGGTGAGGCGATGGCAGTCAGCCTTGACATGGCGAAGGCATTCGATCAGGTTTGGCATCAAGGTTTTCTATCGAAATTGCCCTCTGCCAATGGAATACCAGAGGGATTGTGTAAATGGGTCGCTAGTTTTTTGTCTGGCAGATGCATCAAAACCGTGGTCGACGGTATTTGCTCCGATAGCATGGACATTAACGCTGGCGTCCCGCAGCGCAAGGCTCTGTTCTCTCCCCGACACTGTTTCTGCAGCATATTAATGATTTGTTAACTACGGTTGACATTCATTGCTATGCGGATGACAGTACTGGGGATGCATTTTACACGGTCTGTGCGAACATTCCTCTTCCCGTTGTGGAGTCAAACCGCGAACAGCTTGTATCTGAAAGCGAGAATACTCTCACCAGAGTCCCGATTGAACTTAGTTCAATTCAACCCTACCAAGACACAAGCCTGCGCGTTCACTAAGAAAACCCCTTTTACTGTGGCTCCGCAATTCCAGAACACGTCCATTACCATCTCTAAGAATATTGGGATTCTCGGTGTCGACATCTCTAGCACAGTTGAGTTCCGTAGTCACCTCGAAGAAAAGGTCTGGCGTCCAAAAAGCTCGGTGTGCTGTATTCAGCACACCGAGGCGGTACTTCACTGCGAACCAGAGAATTCTCGTGGATACCAGCTCGGTCCTTTTGACTCAGTTCAAAGACATGCTATGAGAATTGTCGATGATCCCAATCTCTCAAACAGTATCGAACCACTTAGCTTGAGTCGAGACTTCGCATCGCTTTGTGTTTTCTACCGAATATACAACGGACTGTGTTCTGATGAATTGTTTGACATGACTACCTACGGCTACCTTTACCATGGCACCGCTCGCCATCGACAGGGAATTCATCCCTACACGCTGGAACCTAAGTGGTCTCGGACAGTACGGCTTCAGAGGAGCTTCCTCCCGCGTACACTTAGATTGTGGAATGAACTACCTGCCGAGGTTTTCTCAAGAGACTACAGCATGGGGTTTTCAAGAAGGGTATATTAAGGTTTCTTAAGGGTCGGCAACGCGCATGTGACACCCCTGGTATTTCAGGCGTCCATAGGCTACGGTAACTGTTTACCATCAGATGGGTCGTATGCTTGTTTGCCACCTACGTGGTATAAAAAAATAAAGAAATAGAAATATTTTCGGAAAATTGTCCAAATCACAACTGAAGAAGTAAAAACAATATAATATTCGCATTTTAGAACAAGAACTGATCGTATAGCATATATTTATGTTAGTTTGTACGTTTGGTTCTAATATTGCGATTTTTACCACGTATTTATTTAGTTGCTAGATTTAATGTAATATTATATATTATTTTTCTTTGACAACTTATTCTCATAAACAATTAAAATAATTATAATTTGTAGAAAAAATGTTCTGCACAGTGCATATTTAAACTAAATAAACAAAGAAATGCTTACTTTCGGGTCCTCCAATAGCCCAATGTGTGTGTCCCACAATCGGCAAAGATCCAACGGCAGGTAGCCGGTTCGACAGCTCATATAAATGCTTCCGGAAATATCGAAATTTTAAATAATACAGAATAACACATAGGATAATTAATATAAACACAATCATAGTTAAGTACTATAAAAAAAATTGAGAGTATAGTTGTCTAAAATATTTAAGAAGTTATTCCAACAAAACATAAGTATTTACTGTGACATGAAATAAGAACGAATACCTATATAGACACCACGAGTCTATACGTGTTAATAAGAATCATTCCAAGATGGTAAACAACAATCGTTCCAACATGTTTGAGCTGACGCTTATTCCAATAATGGATTTACATTTGAATAAAGCTGATTACTAAACTTTAATCTTTATATACTCGAGTCTGTTAGTGAAAAGTTGTTCAAGTTATTTTTTTTAAATGCATTAATAATGTTGATTGGTCGACCTACATCGAAATATATAAAAAAGCGTAAAAATATGTAGGAGTAACAGTCATTTGCTCAACTATAACTGGGAAGGAGGGTGGGGGGACGTTGAAAAGAATTACCATATCAGTTACCAACACGTCTTTTATATCTACACACACACATACATACAAATGGATCCAAAATAGGAGCCGATATAGGATCCGGAATATACGGAGTAAAATAATATGCTTCTACCTTTCAGGCAGAAACCTACGTCTTAATAAGATGTTGGCAAGTAATAAGCCCTAATTAACTACATCAATCAAAATATATATATTTATTCGTACAGTTAATCTGTTCTTTTAGCACTTCACTCATACGAAATCCGATCTAAACTAAATAGACGCTATATCTTGTTAGTAAATGAAGTAGGAAGCAGAAATAATATTTCCAGCTCAAGCAACTCAGCTCAGCTGGGTCCCCGAGTACTCAAACATTGAAGGCATAAAAATGCCGATGAACTAGCAAAATTAGGGGCAAAAATAGCCTAACAGTGCCTTGAACTCATCTGTAGCATGCCTCGTTACCTAAAATTGGAACATCTAAAACTAATAACCAACTAGGAAGCATTGAATCATTGGCAAAATATATAAGGATTAGTATATTAATTATTATTAATGTACTAATCCTGGAGTATTAATAAATAATGACTAATTTCGGAGTGTTAATTCGCGCATCCCGTTATTACGATATACGCGAATTAATACTACAAAAGACTATCTGTTGAGTAAAAACCATATACCTATCTCTTTTAAAAATAATCATCTCCTTTAGAAAATATTCACTATCCTGAGGAGATAAAAACCATGTCTTCTAAGAATATCCTTAAATTTTTGTCCCAGACGGGTCTAGGTAACTTTAAAAAATGGTAGTCGAACTTTGAAACAAGCGCTAGCAAAAAAAATCTCTGTAGGTCGCAGAGCTACATGTTTAAAGCACCTGACAATAGCCCAAACCCCTAAATAAAAGAAATACATATAATGAACTTATCAGGACAAGAATGTAATTTGTAAATTCGCCACGATGGGTCTAACTGACTCCACTGATTCCCGCCACTGTATCTCGTTAGTGCAAGAGATAACATTTCAAATTATAATATTGTCTTGTGAAATTGCATTCAGGTGATTCGGGCCAAAAATTTAAGTGTTCAGCTTTTGTTTGTTATCGTTATTGATATCATTTGGTTATTTACATTATTAAGAACCAAATAAAAGATACAGCTCGCTTCATTTCATCTATGCGGGAACAACGGCAGCTGAAATCTATTTTATATACACATGAACCAGTGTCTAATTTGTATAGATTATCGAATTGCTAAAACTTATTAAGTTGGAAGTCAAGTAATATTATATGAGTATTATATAGTGTATGAAAAAATTAAATATACATAGTCACAGCATTAGACTGAAAATGAAGTAGGCAATAAATAATATTTTTTGTAACATATTAACAATATCTATGGTTCAGGTATCAATTTGCTAAAACAGAGCTTTTTATATGTACAGTTCGAAATACTGCCAATTCTTAATTTTTAATGAAAACAATAGATTTTAACAAGACAATAGTTTTACCAGTCGATGTATTGTACTTTTTACAATGGTTTTTTTGATGGACACGATTCCAACGTCGTATTCAAGTCTTTTTTTTATCAATATATATATCTGCTGCTGTCACATTAGTATAAATTAGGACATTGTTGTCTATTATAATGCTATATTCAACTATTTTGACGTACCTATACGTTATACGATTGATATCCGTATTAAAAAAGTGTTATTTCTAGAATCGCATTGTAAATTTACTGGCTGGTTTGAAAGCTACACACTAAAAAATATTACGTTCCCAGGTAAATGTAAAGAGGACTAATGCACTTGCACATGAAGATTATTATCTTATATATAAAATTCTCGTCTTATATATAAAATTCTAGTGTCACAGTTTTCGTTCTCATACTCCTCCGAAACGGCTTGACCGATTCTCATGAAATTTTGTGAGCGTATTGAGTAGGTCTGAGAATCGGCCAACATCTATTTTTCATCCCCCTAAATGTTGGGGGTAGTCCACCCCTAAATTTTATATATATTTTTTAAGGCAAAACAACGTTTGCCGGGACAGCTAGTTAAAAATAAATTTATAAGAATTTAAATTCATGCCAGTTATTCAGTTTATGATGGAGTTAATAATTAAAACTTGAGAGACTGTAAAGGGGCTGATATGTCTGGTAGGGAGAAAAAACCATTACGCATTTGACCTTGGGGTGAAAAATACATTAAGCAATAAAGAAATTGAGTTCTGTTTTAAAAGATTTCTTCACATTTTCTGTTACTACATAAACACAGAATTGGCAAACAGATAATAAAGTGGTCTTAGGTTCACAAAGATATATGTATACATTACCTTGTCAAGTATCATCAAGTGGTCGCAGTCAAGCTATATAGAACGCGGTTTGTTCTATTACTCTTCTGTTTTATTTAATTCATCAAACTTACAAGTTGATACCTGAAATCATATTGCTGCATTTTGACATTTTTATCAATTTAGCCATAAAAGTCTAAGTGCAAATTGTCCGATTTAATAATTTTGTTGTAATTTAGTAAGTATTACACTTTTATTATCTAATATAATTATTATATACTACAGACATTATCCCAAACGTTGGGAATATGTCTGAAAAAGGGCAAGGACAATTAATACCTAATATTTTTGAAATCCTCATATATCCAACATATAGTTCAAACTGTCTACTACTGTCTATTTTTAAATTGACCCCAACGAAATTGTTATCTATATCTCTTAGTTATTGTAAAAGTGAAAAGCAATATAATTTATACATTTATCCATCTCTTTGTTGCTTATTATCTGCTCTACCGAATACTGGCTACTTGAAACAAGATAAAATACATGATTTTTCATTAATAAATAATGCCATTGACTGTTTGTTTCCAAACGGTATTTTTCTTCAGTTCTGAACATATTGAGATGTTTTTTTAAAGGTTTACTCCAATTTTAAACAAATGTTGATTAGGCAAGGTTAATAATATAATTATGAAGATATAAAGATAATTAAGATCTTTTTAGGTCTTTTCTAAAGACTATTTCATAAAACATAAGTAATACATAATTGTGAAGTGCATGAGGAAATCGCAAAACATGCTTGTTTTATTATAACTAATAACACTACTATTATTACTATTTAATTATACAACTATAATTACTGCGGTTCCATTCACATTCATTCATGGCATAAATATTGTTCCAAATGAATATCATAAATCTGGAACTTAATGTATAATATTTCTTTTACTATTATAAAAACATAAACTTCTATTTTCAATTGTAAAATAAAGTTAGTAACGATTAGTTATTCATTATAACAAGACTATCTATTACACCGAAATATTTGAGTTATATTATTCTATATTGACTATATTCTTTAATTAGCATATTTTTAACTTTCGTTTTCTTTACATTGAACCTTTTCTATTATCTATTAAAAAGGTAGATAATAATAAAAATGTTCTTTTTACTTCTAATTACTCTCTATATATAAAAACTCTCGGAATTTCTGACTGTATGCATAAATTCTGTCCTGCTATTCTGATTACAAACAGTGTTAACAAGGTTCTTAGTTATTCCTTTTATAGTCTACTTTGACTAGCACTGCTACAGTTAATTTTTTTTTAAATATAACTGTAGCAGTGCTGGTCAGGTCAAAATACAATTCATCTCGGCTTCTAAATATAAAATCATTTATTCATAGGACATTATAGCCGCTTATGAATCTCAACTTTTTTATATAATTGTTCTTTCTCCTACTACCCAGTTCAGTATACTACCCAGTTTTAAAACTAGTTTACTTACATTATAGGTAGATGTCTATGTCTAACATTTAAAGAAAATCTCGTGTATGAACAACCATGCATGCTTGTCAGTTAAGTAATCGTTTAGTGAGTAACTTTGCTCACCCGGTGTTCCTAACTTTATGAGTTTTATAATATAAGGAATATGTTACTTGAGTAATGGACATTGAAAGAATTGATCATACCAGTGCAGTGGTTCGGAGTTTGTTTTCCTCATAACAAAATTCGCTTTCCTTCTCTATCTAGCAGTATAGATTAACTATAGTATATTAATTAGTATTATGCTCTGTTGTACCTACGATTGTTGAAATATCCTCAATCATTTTATTTGTACTTAGGTTAAAAAATGATTATCCCGGCTATTTTCGTTTTTGTATTTGGTGCGTACTTGATATATTGGATCGTGTACTCTTGGCGAATGAACAAATTGACCGCATCACTACCGGAGCCTCCGTCTTTGCCTCTACTCGGGTGTGCAATGCGTTTTACAGGAAATAGCGAGAGTACGTATTTTTTAAGCGAACTTTATAACTACGAATAAATATGAAGGAATTTTAAATTAATCTCCATTTATATTACTTAATATTTCATCATTGATACATAAATCATAATATTTCCATTTATTTTAAGTTCATGTGTGATGTGCTATTTAAAATTAATTAATATACTTTCGTAATTAATAAGTAGAAGATATTTCATTATTTAAGAAAGAAAATGTCATTAAATATTCAATATAGAACAATAAGTTATATAACATTAATATAGTAAATACTATCTGCTATATTTTTATAATTACTTTTACATTTAAAATTGTAATGGTTCCTAGATAGTGTAGTGGTTTAACGCCCTACTATATTCTGATTATTTTGTATTCGATCCCCGCTCGTTGCAGAGATTCGCTATGATGATGATGACGTCTGTTTGTATTTAATTATTGTGTGTTAGGTTTGTACTTTCTAATTAAATAAGTGCTATTTTTTTATAATATTACCTACACGAGTATAAAATAGTCACGTTCTGTTATAAAATACAATAAAATATTTTGTTTCCAGAAATGTTTCAGAACGTTGATGAAATAGCTCAAATAGCATTGGCACATAAAGGTTGTGTCAAGATATGGCTTGGTCCAAAAATGTATGTGGGTGAGTTAATTTTATTTTGCCTATATATTTAATTAATTAATTTAATGTCTAGAAAATAAAACCTTTTCCGAAACAAAGTACATTATTAAAACTAATTATTTTTTATTATTTATTAAACAATAATGTCAATTAAAACAAAAAGTATTAACACAATTTCATTTCAAACAATTGTGATATACCTATATGTACATTAAATGAAACTATACCAATTAAAACTATAGTGGTACCTAAAGTAAAAATATATGTATATTTTTTGTATATTATTATTTTTAACGCTGATTTAAATCAATAGCTAGTATATAAATCAATATTGGATCTAAAGTAGGAACTGTTGTCTATTGTATATGGATGCGTGATTATGACTGACATCAAACGACTTTCTTACTATTTGAAGTGTTTGAACTAACACAATACGCACGACGTGCTATTGTGCTAACATACTTAAAACATAAGATTTCAATGACGCACTAGCATTACTTTAGAGAAAAAAACTTAGTTTACTTAGTAGAACTCTTTTTTACAATTTGTTAATTTTTTAACCTAAAATATTTCAGTAATTATTGAAAAATCAGCAACATGAAACAACAGAAGTTTAGTCAGAGTAACGGCTTGATTTGCAAGTGGTGCTCAGGATATTAATTTAATTAATATTTAATATAATTAATATTAAGCTAGGATTCAAATCACGTGGTACAGAGGCATTAAACTCTAGTAATGGCAAGATTTAGTGGTACCACGGAATTATAATGTATTTTATGTCGTCTATGTTGCTAGTCATTTATATGGGCTGATAGCTTAGTCATCACTTTTATTTATGATCAGGTGAGATATCATATTATTTGCCATTCTAATTTAATAATGAAAAGTAGCTTGAACGACTGAAAGATGAAAATGGCAGTTCTTCTCTGGCGATACCATACGCAAACTGCCAAACGTATTGTAGAACTTATTGGCAAATCCGTGCATGAACAGGATCATGGATGTCACGTCCCCGTGTGATACCCACAGTATATGTTATACGATGCAATCGCTGTCAAACTGTTTGCAGTATAGCAATTTGTCAGCTGAAATAGACAGATGTAGCTTTTAAACAGTCTATCGCGAATGACTGAAATGATGATGATGAATATAATCATAATATTCAATTGCAGCTATCGTTAATCCAGAAGACGCACAAGTAGTATTAGATAATTGCCTTGACAAAGATACTGTATACCGTTTCCTGAGACCTTGGTTGGGGCACGGCCTCTTTATTGCACCAGGTGAGTGCTAAACTGTTAAATTCATAAAGTATACTAATATACAATATTTTATACATTTTGTGTATTATATTATACTTAATGTTATTTTTATTGCGCGGTTTATACAAATCAAATACAGAATACAAAATGAGGAAATGTTCTTTAGTTCTCGGGAATGCAATGGTTTAGTAGTTTACTACCCTGATTTGGACCGAGACTGACCTGATTAAATGAGTTCCAATTTGAGCGATACCAAAAAATTTTGTGTCAATTTATAGTGATGGACACATCATTAACAAACAATGTAAGATTAGGTACTTACTCGGATGACCGAGAGACGCGGTAGACTCGCGCCCGGTCACGATTATGTACAAATTTGTATGTAATTCAGAGAAAATTTACAATGAAACTTATATCTTTTAATAGATTTTTCGTTTCTGTTAAAACTAAAGACATTTTATGACAAGACGCGAATAGAAAAGTACCTACTGCAAAAATACCGAAGGTAAATATTTGTTAAGTAAATTTGAAATGATCCATCCTCCGATAATATACCTTAAAGGCCTTCAAGTAGTTATACATCATTATACTGCCTGCTGCCTATAGCGGATAATACAGTTGAATACATATATATAATAGGTAGAGTATATAGAGTGGTCAGTATTATATTTATTGTAAATTATTATTACATTTTTATTAACATTACAAGAGCTGTTTCCGCGACTACGTCCGCGTAGAATTTCACTTTATTTTTCTAAAATAAAAGTAGCCTAATAACTTAGGCTCCCAAATCGGCCTAGCCATTTCAGAGATTAGCCGGAACAAACAGACAGACAGACAAAAAATGTTATTTTGTGTATGTACTGTGTTTATATTTATATGCATGTAGTATTAGATAATTGCCTTGACAATGTACGCATATGTAGTAAAAAACGGTTATTTCGATATTACAAATAGACACTCCAATTTTATTTATATGTTATACATTAAAATTATCAAGTCTAATGATTTGCATCGTCTGCGTGGGTTTTCAATTTCACTTATTTCTGCCTTCAACAAATTTGTTATGAGTGCATAATGTCTTAGTCCTCCTGAATGGTAACACATGGGTAATATCATCACATGATAACGTGATATCGTTTATGCATAGGAGACAGTTACCACTTACCATCAGGTGGGCCGCTAAGTTATTTGCCATTCCAATTATTCCTCTTCTCAATGTGTTTTCATGTAGGATAAGTAGTAAATATTTGTAGTATACAGACTACCAGAGTAGTGCTTAGTATTAAAATGTAAATAAATGTATGTTTAAACATAATAACTTATTAGCAAATTATGAAACAAATACACCATGAATTATGTATTCGTCGTCCATATATCAGAAACCATAATGAGATAAAACAAATAAGTAACTAGATACTTATTTGTTTTAGAAATAGTTGTCTGATATTTTATTAAGAGGTGACATACTAAGACATACCTACATATAAATGTTATGGTGTAGATAAACTTATGGGTACTTCAGACTGGTTATATTAGAAATTATATTATCGTCATGTACGTAATTCATTATTGTACTAATTCTTAATTATTTATATCGTCTATAAGACGTATATAATACCAATTACACAATAAACAGTTAAATATCTGTTTCCGACCGCATATGGCCTTATAATTTATTTAAAAATAAAATTAGATATACAATCTGAAAATAGAACGTCACGTATGGAATATTGGAACAAAATAAAAATCATAAATACTGATTGATGATGATGATTAATATGATTTAATGTTTTTTTTTCACTTCTCGACCATTCCACGGAATCACAATTAATATATATCCAGTGTTGTACACTGGGTATAAATTAATTGTGGTTCCGGCATAAATAATCTATAGTTATTTAATTTATTATTAATTTAACAAATTGTTCTACTGCGTAAACTTAATTATAAGTACGTACATCACAAAATATTAACTCAATCTGCAGTGAAGCTTTTATGATACAAACTGGTTGAGCAATATATGTATAACATAGCCTATATAGATTCAAAGCGAAATGTAACGATATATTTTATAAAAAATGCAAACAAGAAATATTTGAAACAAACATTAGGATATTACCAATAAAGAGCAAACGCTAAATAATACATTATATTTATCTATTTGATGACACTACTATTTGATTATATTGATGATTCAATATTATAGTACCTAGGTACCTATTTATAATTGTTTTTACAGTGGGTCTGTGGAAAATGCACAGAAAAGTTTTGTTGCCAATATTTAGAAATAAAATAATAGAAGAATATTTGAATGTCGTCAGTGACCAAGCTAACGTTTTGCTAGAAAGACTTGAAGAAAAAGTGGATAGAGAAGATTTCGACGTCTTGAAATACATCACTGCGTGTACTTTGGACATTGTGTTTGGTATTATTTACATATATTTTTTATGAAGTTTCATTATACCTTTGCTATATCATATAGCGTTAAAACATTCGCTCAACATACATTGCTTGTGTATTTAAATACGAGTATGTCTACGGCTATTAAAAATGAATATAGATGTAAGCGCTGGGTCTCTTCCCCGCGCTTATATTACATCTATATTCATTTTTATAGCACGGTAACTATCTATTCAGACTGCCTACCTACATATGTAACTACAATGGCAACTCAATTCATCAACACACCAATATTCAAACTCCATTCCAAATTATTACAAGTGGTCAATTAAACTTGTAATTGCTATACCATATAGTTGCAATGAAATAAAAAGTTTTAAAAAGGGCTATAGACATAGTTCACATGTTTATAATTACATAAAAAACGCGTCTAATTAATTGTATTTTCCCTGCAAGTTGCTCAATATCTTCGTCAATTCAGTACAGATTTTGTAGATAATTTATCAGGCGGTACAATTTACTCCTGTTTTTATTCCATATTTTCTATTTTAGTCACCAGTAGGGTTTTGTATGACTATATTGGATTTAAAGTGTACATTTGTGAATCATAATATACCGTTGTAAATATTTATTTACTATTTAATAACAAACTATAATTTCCGACAGAGACAGCCATGGGTGAGCGCATGGACGTACAACACAAACCAGATACACCATATTTGCAAGCGAGAGAAACGGTCATAACAATTATGAATATGAGGCTATTTAAAGTGTGGCTACAACCTGATTGTCTTTTCAATCTCACCTCATATGCCAAACAACAGAAAGAAAATATTGACCTCACGCACAAGTTCACGGACGAGGTAGGGACGCATTTATCGCTTATTTGTTTAAAACATCATTAGGTGCGTTTTGTCATTACGCAACTAATTGCGTACATAACCTAAGCACAGTAATAAAAGTTATATTTACTTATAAGTACATCATTCTTTAATCAATATATCCTAAATGTAATTTTCTTGGGTTTTCCTTATTCTTAAAATTACTTTAATAATTTGCAATAATGACATTTACATTCAGTATCTGCACAATTGACAGGATAGTAACATTTCCAAATTAATATGTACCCATATGAGTAATAATATGCTCATAACTGTAAAATTCTATATATAATTATCAATAGAAATTGGTACACTATAGTATTGAAATTGGATAAGTAGGTAGGTAGGTACCTACTTATATGACGTTATCATAAGGATACTACGAATATCACCTTGTGTAGATTTATAACCATAGATTGATATAATAGTTACTTCGTAAACTAAGTGTTATGTCATTGAGATACTGTGTACTAACGCATTAAGAGCTACATACATAATACCTCTATGATATTTGTATACACATGTACTTAAAAATGTGTCAACTATAAATAAATTATCAAATATACCACTAATTTAAAATCGGGTTATAGAAGAAGAAACTCTTGTTTTGTTGCTCTAAATATGACTTTTTTAACTAGCAATATTTTATTAAGTCAATAGTAGTCAATTAATTAGACGGTGTTTAGTTAAAATTTCGAAAACATCCATAGAAGTATCAATACAAGTGTAAAATTGATGTAAGAATTTGTATTGGAAGTGATTGATAATTAGAATCAAATAAAGAATAGTAAATAATGCATCATAAGTGTACATAATACGTAGTTTGACAGCACTAGTGATCTAGCGGTTGAGCACACCGCCTTACTTGCGATGATCGCAGGTTGGATACCTCGAACGGTATAAATATTATATTTGTATTTGTAAGTATGATTGTACTTGTTTGCGTGTTTTCTGTGTACATTTAAAAAAACGTGTTTAAATATTAATATCAGTTGTAGTAAGTAGCTTATGATTAGATTGCGTAGTATGAATTGTCCAAGGTTATTAGTATTATTAATACTAACTCCCCATTTAACTACTTAAAACTTTAAACTATCACATACTTGTTTCAGGTTGTCCAAAAAAAACGTTTCGACTATGAAAATAAAAGGGACAATAAAAATGGAGAACAGACGCCAGGTATAATTTATATTACTTTTTAAAAGAGAAAGTGAAGGAGAAGGGGTGGAATGAGGTTGTTCGTAATTATAACTTTTTATTTTATTAGGTACATGTATAGAAGAAGCATATATTCCTTCTATACTGTAAATAAACACATTTTAAGATATTGCAAAAAGAGCCGGTGATGGGGGGGGAGGGGGGCGTTAGAATAGGGTTGTTCGTAGTTATGACTAGTGGCTACATTACGAATATATCTGGTTACACTGTTTTAACGTCATGATTAATTCGTGGTGAAGACATCGCAGCATCCTTGCATCAGCGTATACTAACCAGCCTGTCATACCATACCATACCAGCCTGCACTAAAGGGGAAGCTGGAGAACCATTCCATGATTATTCATCAAAAAAATTAAATATACTGCAAGAAATGTTTATAAATATCAGTGAATATAAGCAGGTACTGTACGTGATTCGCCGTAGAGGTACTAGTGTACACCTACGTATACCTGATGTAATGAATTAGTAATGCTCACATATTATTGATAATGAGCTTGGTACATATTTGATATTAGATACAATGATAACCTTAGTTCACAGAAGCGCTAAAGTAAGGATATGATCTCTTTATTTTGTAAATTTTTGAATGACGAATTGTTCTGAGGTTATATTAGTAACCTGTGCTTGGACGTGAAATAAGTTAGATTGTATGGGACTTGTTACAAAAAAATCCTCACACTGTAGTTATTCAAATAAAACATTGACGCCAAATAATAAAGTAGACTTCCGAACTCGTGTATTCTATGTTAATAGTAGCCGTGGAGTAGATAAATATGAAGATGACGCAAACATCTTGTTTCTGTTTACCTATACGGATGTATACGTAGGTTTACAATTAAGCTGCCCTCGGTTTGTAGGGCTAGGCTCTCCAAAAGATGGTTAAATGCTTATGCTAATCGTAGGGTTGATATTGAACTTCTACTTTGAGTACTTTTACTCTTCGGTCTTATTTTATTTTTTTATTAAAATCTAATTGCATTACCTTGTATACAATTTTACAACTCTTTCATTCTATTTTTGAAGAGCAGGCATACTAAGATGGTTTATGAGTAGTTTGTTGTAAGTTGTAGGAAGTTCCTTTGAACTTCCTACAACTTACAACTTGCAAATGGCATAAAAGACGTAGTAAGTATAGCATAGCGGCTATTTACTATGGTTATAAGCTATGACTCTCCTTCGATATTTTATTTATCATATTTTCTGTCTACCAAAGAAATAACTCTAGTTAACTGCTATAAGTTTGATAATACGGAAATCTATGTTATTATACATATAATTGCCCTAGAAAAAGCTCTGGTATTATCTAGATTACATATGATACCAAAAGATTATACAGATTGATTTCAGTTTTCAGAAAAGTTTATTATCTGTCATCATTGCCTTGCCTTTATCCCATTATTTGGGGCCGGCGCAGTATGTCATTCTCTTCCACTGCTCTCTATCGGTCGTCATATCTAAACATACTCTTCTTTTAGTCATATCATCTTTCACACAATCCATCCATCTTTTCTTAGGGCGTCCCCTCCCTTTACTTCCAAAAGTTTATTATCAGTAAGACTGAAAAATTACATATACCTTATTATTTCTTTGATTATAGATATATTTGATATAGATAGATATATGATTATAGAATATGCATTTATTTGCCTTGTATAGTAAAAAAGAATAATTATTTTTAAATATTAATAGATTATTTTGTTCGTAAATTGAATATTTGATAAAAATTGTGTTAAAAGGTCAATTAGACGCTGTTCTGGACTTGCTGTTTGGAAGAGAGATAGACTTTAGTAATGAAGAACTTCGCGAACACATAGATTCCATTACCATTGCCGGGAACGATACTACGGCGTTGGTCATCGCGTATACTTTGGTGTTGTTAGGCGTCCATCAAGATGCACAACAGAGAGTATTACAGGAGTGAGTAAAGTTATTCACGCGACTGTTTAAGTTATTGTTTATGTTATGTTAGACTCAGTTCTTTAAAAATTTTGATGATTATTTAGCGATCATAATTTTGCCGATTTTTATGGTAAATAATTTTATTTTTAATTAAGATGTAATACTCCTATATAATACTAGTACGTAATGTATAAATTCTCGTTCACATCATAAGTCACAATCACCTTACTAGAGATGTAGAGTCATCGAAATTGTAAATTTTTTTAAACCATGTTTGATAATTGATGAAATTATTTAATGTAAGCATTATTAAGCATCTCTATATTTATTATTATTATTACTTATTATCTATTATTACTCAGACAGGAAGAAATCTTTGATAAATCAAAACGAGGAGTAAACAAAGGAGATCTCCAAAGAATGCACTTCTTGGAACGTGTTGTGAAGGAGAGCATGAGGCTCTACACTGTTGTTCCTTTAATTGCTAGAAATGTACATGAGAATATACATCTTCGTAAGTTTGCATACTATTTTATATATTACATACTAATACCACAAATTATTAGGCATACATTATTCATTGTTAAATATTGGCATCGCCTACAAAAGATTGTTATAACGAGGTAACCTGGGTACCTAATGTACGTCTAATTATTTTAAGCGTATTAGACTCATAAAATAATTAGACGCAAATAAAGTATAATTATAATTGATCTGTTTAAGTATAATTATACTTTATTTATGTGTATAAAAATGCCGAAATTCGTATTCATTTAATTGTACTGCATGTCTTGAAGAATCTCTATAAGTATGGATTGAAATATATGTTGTCACTTGATTAATTTTGTATGAAACATTCAGCAATATTCTCATACATTGAAAACAGTTCCTCAAAGAGCACAATTCTGAATATTATTAATGGGTTTCAGCTTGTTATACCCAAACCAATGCACATATTATTTCAATATTAGGCATTTCAAATTTAGATTGAATTTTCCTGGACAGTTGTTTAATTGTATAATGATTTTTTTAATTTCGACCATTACCCCTGTATATTAGCGTCAATAATTTAAATTGAAATATATTTTTTGTACTAAAGAAGCTTAAATTTTTGATAAAGAATGTCGGAACTCTTGAATATATATCATTTATTATATATCATTTATATTGAATATCATTTCGTTGTTCAACTTGTCGTTGTGTGCTGTCTTTTTGATCGACACTAATTTCATTTTGGTTTACCGTAAAGTTGTTGTCAAAGATTGTTGGAATAATCCAATCAAGATATAGTACGTGTATGCTTAAGTGATTACTACGTATGTTAGCAAACACATTTGCTTAGATGTGATCACAAGTCAAGGTCACATCTTCCGTATAATGTATCTTTGACCGCCTTTGTGTACTGATTCGAATCTCACATTTATCACAGGCAAACCATGTCATGCGGGGGATTTGATCCAGGTTGTTACTGGTATAACACCTTAATTTTTAGTACTATTAATTTCTTTGTTTTTATACTAATATTAACTGATTTAATTATACAAAAAAGTGATTGAAAATTTACGTCGTCACTTAAAATCATTCCCAATATTCGCTATAAAAATACTATCGAATAACGTAGCTGTACTAAATAGTGCAATTTATACATGGTTTTCTGTAAGACGGATGTATTTCATCAGAAGTATATCTCGTCAGTTTTCTTGGGGCATAGTCTGAGAATGTTTATGAGGATTTAGTTAATTTTATTAAATTAGTACTTTACTATAAACTTTCAAAATATTTGAAACAATTAAAAGTATGTTCGTCTATCAACTGAATGATAAAAAATATAGGAGAAAAAATACATTATAATGATATAGTACGTTAAAACAAAACTTGTAGTTTTTCTTTCTATTGTCGTGTTGAGCGCATACTAATATTATCACGATTGCAGGTTTTAGCACTTTTACGGAATCTAATAGCTACCTACTTGGAACATCCATATACAATACTTAAATAGTAACTGAAAATGAAACGATTTTTATAATGTTTACATAGCGGGTTGTGGTGCAACATTGCCGGCTGGCACGGGAGCAGTGGTTGCTGCTTTCGCTATGCACCGATCAGAAGCGATATGGGGGCCTACAGCTAACGAGTTCGACCCTGATCGTTTTCTCCCAGAACGATCAGTTGGGCGCCATCCCGCTGCATTTGTACCATTTAGTTACGGAACAAGAAACTGTATAGGTAGTAAACATATTCCCCTACTAATTATATAAACTTATACTACCTATTTACTTATTGTATGAAGACATAAACAGTATAGTACAGTATACATTATATTTGTATCATCACAAGTAAAAATATAATAATGCGAATACTATATTTTTTATGTGAATGCAATGGCAAACTGAAAACTCCATATAAAATAGAGTAAGTTTAATAACCATTACCTACAGACATGACGAACAGGAAATTAAAAATAGATTTTCACGTCCATGGTACCTATTCCTCGTGGTACCTACTACTTGACTTGTGTCTTATTGTTCTATAAGTATCCACTAATTTCACTGTCTATAAAAAGGTAAATAATAAATATTCTTAGACCGGAACATAACTTCCTGCAACAGGCATGCAGAAAGAAATAGATGAGATTGAGGTTCCCACTTAAATGACTTTGTACGAAGTCTCAATATGCTAAATTTAGAAGCGTGCTATTATTTCAATAAAGTTATTGTGTAATTCGTTGTAATCAAACAATGTTAGACTTACTCATATTTTTCATAGTGGCTATAACTAAAATTTATTTTCAGGGCGAAATTTCGGCATGATGATTATAAAGAGCATATTATCGAGTGTTATGAGATCATACCATATCGAAGCGCAACCAATTGAAGGACTTAAAATGGAAATGTTGCTCTTTCCCACGGAGGGTCATCAAATTAAAATTTCAAAAAGATGAATATATTACTGAACATCTATAAAAGCTCGCTTTAAAGGATATTTATTAAATGAGTTTTTTTATATGTTTGTTTCGTTATACTTTAATTATCGGTAATTAGACCTATTGCCATCCTCACTGCAATTATTATTCTGATCAATACCACAAAATACGAACTTTTCGTTATCGTTCGATTGTACTGTAATCTGTACGAGAAGATAATATTAACATTAAAATAAATGTGCATCATTGTTGCTTAATGGAATTTAATAATACATAATAATAATGATTAATTATAACTACGCTGAAAAAAAGCAGACTCCTAATTCAAGTTTTATGTAGAGTACTTATATGGTAAGCGATATGTTCTGCGGTAATAATGATGTAAATATTCGTTTAATCAAAACAAAATATAATTTTCTGCATAGAAGAATACTTTTTCAATTAGTTAAGTAGGTATTCACAGGAACTGAAACATTAAGAAACTTCAATATTCAATTAAAAGATCTTGATCCAATAAAACTTTAGGATTTCCAATACACCTGTTGATGATATTAATAATGTGGGCATAATTAGATAACAATAATATAGGTATGTCTATACTATACGTTCATGTATAAATATTAAATATGTAGGTAAACGTACTATACAATTTATAGACGTGTCAATACTTTGTTCACTTGTTTTATTTGAGTTGTATCTGTAATTATTTACTTAATGCGTTCGTAAAATTGTGTTTTTTAACTTGTTGTCACTTAATAAGTTTAGAGCTACATTGTACCTATTATTTTAGCTTGAACATAACATAAGTAGATATTTTGCGTGATAGTAGTAGGGCGGGTTAATAAGCCCGTGACTTTTTGAATTTCCCGCCTCTTAATTGTAATGGCAACACTGCTCTTGTTAACAGTCATCTCTCAGTTGACTCTTGTCAAAAATTGAACGAGCTGCGACATTTAGTTCGTTTTTGACAGCCGTTAATATCAGATTACCGTGTTGACAGAGAAGAAAATGGAAGAAACTGAATTTCGTGTGCTCATTAAGCATTATTTTTTACGAAAAAAATACATTACGCAAACCAAGGCTAACCTTGATAAATATTATGGGGACTCCGCACCATCCATTCCAAAAAAGTGGTTTATTGTATTTAGATGTAGCCGTACAAGGTTGGAAGACGTCGAAGGTTCCGGACGCCTAGTTGAGGTCTCTACATCCGAAACAATTGAAAAAATCCACGATATGGTTTTAGCTGATCGGCAATTAAAAGTGACAGAGATTGTGAAAACCATAGGCATCTCACATGGCTCAGTGGTTTCAATTTTGACTAATCATTATAAGGGTAGCTTATATAATGATATATATATCATAATAATCATTAGTAGGAGAAAGCTTTCCGCAAGATGGGTGCCGCATTTACTCACAATCGACCACAAACTCAACCGTGTGACAATTTCGCAGGAGTGTTTGGCATTGTTCAATCGTTGTTGTTCGATATGGACGAGTTTTAGCGCCGTTTCGTAACCGAGGACGAAACGTGAATCCACCGGATACCAAACAGCAGTCAAAACAGTGGGTTTCTCGGGGTGAATCAGTGCCAAAGAAGGCAAAGGTGGGGTTAGGCAGCCAATAAAGTAATGGCGACTGTTTTTTGGGATGCACGCGGTATTATCCACATTGACAAAGGAAAAATAATCAATGGCGAATATTACAACAACTTATTGGGTTGATTCAATAAGGCATTGAAAAAAAAGCGACCACACTTGGCCAATAAAAAAGTCCTTTTGCACCAGGACAATGCCCCGTGCATTCATCTAGCCAAAAATCCATGAATTGGGCTACGAATTGCTCCTTCATCCGGCCTATTCTTTCGATCCACGTATGACTATTTCTTGTTTGTTGTCAAATATGAAGAAACGGCTCGGCAGAAAGTGATTTGCCTCCAACGACGAAGTCATTCACAAACAAATGCTGAATTTCGAAAACATCGACAAATCATATTTCCAAACGTTGGGCTAAGTGTGAGCTCAAAGGAGACTACGTTGAAAAATAAAATAACTTTTTGTCTAAAAACCTGTATTATATTAATCTACGAGGTAATTTAATTTTTGAAATTTTTCTACTAGATACTTTTTATATTAAGACATTTTTTTGTGTAGGTACCTACTACAAAAGTAGTAGCTGTATGTTATAATTTATAAAAATTCATTTTATCACTATAGAAAATTATTTAAATTACATATAAATCGTGTATTTAACTTTGATCTCATAAATAAACTATTGACGGTGTTACAATGGTAGCTACATGGCTATTTACGCCCACGAAGAAATTTAACGTACATACATGTTTGGTCTTATTTTCGGGATTTTTGTTTATTACGATAGACTTAATTACAATAGATTTTTCTTTTTCTTTCTACTTCATTTATATACATAAGAAATGTAGGATTAATAAATTTGTAAAATTTGAGTCATATACATGAAATATAAATATATAAAAACCTCTTTGCAATATTGACTGAACTGTATTTTTTGATCACAATAAAGACGCTTTTTTTTTGGTTCTGTTTATCCTTTATAGGAAAGGCTAAGGGAACTGCGCCCATACAGCCATGTCTTCATATTGTTTGAATTTCTTGATATTCTTATATATATTTGTTTTTAAATATCTTGAATTGTTGAAGTTATGTATTCATACAGTGTAAAAAATGTTCTTGAATTTCTTAATATTTCTTGGAGAGTACGCGGAATATTCTGTATTTCCATACCATTTTCCTTTATGTTGTAGAGTCAATTCCCATTCTTGTTTCCATTTACTCCTTATATATTTAAAAGGTACAACTAAGTCTAAGCATGGCAATGGTAGTTTTTTTCTTCATTGTGAACATTACATGAAATTATAAGTTTAGCTAATTCATCGGCTTTTTCATTTCCTTTTACTCCAATATGTGATCGAGGCCAATAAAAAAGGATATTCATAGAAAAAAATAGCTTCAGAATGTAAATTTTCTGTCTAATTTTATCCTTACTAATATTATAAATGCGAAAGTAACTCTGTCTGTCTGTCTGTCTGTCTGTCTGTCTGTCTGTCTCGCTTTCACGCCAAAACTACTGAACCGATTTAAATGAAATTTAGTACGCAGATAGTCTAGACGCAGAGGAAGGACATAGGCTACTTTTTAATGCGTAAAAAGGGTTGTAAGGGGTTCAAAATGGAAATACAAGGTTATCTTTATGCGGTTGAATCCTTATTCGTCATCTTTTCATTTCACTTGCTAACAACCAATCAACACATCGCGTGCGTTTGCGCCATTCGCCATCTTTTCATTTCACTAGCTCACAACCAATCAACACATCGCGTGCGTTTACGCCAATAAGGTATCCATCACAGAGAACAAAACCACAGATAACATAATGTAAAACGAAAGATCTTGCCGGAAACATGACGTTGACGTTTAGTGAAAATATTGTTTTTTGACACTTTTTTTTGATAAAATCGTATATCGAGTGTATGTGTTTTTTCTTAAAACCTGAAATTGGCCGATTGCGAGACAAATTTGGCGATTTTTTTTATTAATTTGTTTTACGGCTCTGGATACAAGCCCAGTTTAGCCCAACTTAAAGTTTTACAATATAAATTACAAAAATTAAAGTCAATGTCCAATGTTAAATAATAATAAATGTCAAATGTTGTTTCCCTGTTCTGACAAACTTAAAAAAAAAACTTAATAACAATCACAATTTCTTCACATTCTATTATTTACATTTTTTAAAGAATGTTGTGGTGTGGCACTATCCGAAATTAAATTATTCACCCATTTTTGTAGGTTATCCAGAAATAATGTGTGGGTGTTTATTTAAAAAGCATTAACACAAAATTAATAAAGTATAGGTATTAATAAATATATGGTTGTTGTATCAAAATAGAGTTTTCTTATTTTTCACTAAAATAAAAACTAACTGTCTTTTTTATAAAATAAATGACCTTTTCATTGTGCCATATATTATGGAACTATTTAAATTATTTAGCTGATTGTAAGAAACAAAATGTTGGTTTGTAGATTAATACTGTAAAATTATTATTTGTATGGAAACGATAAAAATATATTTTTGTGCTGCGACAAAAACTAATATTATAAATGTGAAAGTAACTCTGTCTGTCTGTCTCGCTTTCACGCCAAAACTACTGAACCGATTTGAATGAAATTTGGTATACAGATAGTCTAGACCCTGAGAACGGACATAGGCTACTTTTTAATGCGAAAAAAGGGTTGTAAGGGGTTAAAAGGGGGGATGAAAGATTGTATGGAAGAATCGTCATTTTTGAAGCTAGAAGCTTGAATCTTATTGTTGAGACTGTTGATTAAATATAAATACATATGACATTCATTGTTTGTAAAAAAAAATACCCTTAAGGGGGTAAAATAAAATAGGGGATGCAAGTTTTTATGTAAAATCGTCATTTTTGTAGCTAGAAGCTTGAAACTTATTTTTGAGGCTGTTGATTAAATATAAATACATATGACATTCATTGTTTGTAAAAAAATTACCCTTAAGGGGGTAAAATAAAACAGGGGATGCAAGTTTTTATGTAAACACGTCATTTTTGAAGCTAGAAGCTTGAATCTTATTGTTGAGACTGTTGATTAAATATAAATACATATGACATTCATTGTTTGTAAAAAAATACCCTTAAGGGGTAAAATAAAATAGAGGATGCAAGTTTTTATGTAAAATCGTCATTTTTGAAGCTAGAAGCTTGAAACTTATTTTTGAGGCTGTTGATTAAATATAAATACACATGACATTCATTGTTTGTAAAAAAATTACCCTTAAGGGGGTAAAATAAAATAGGGGATGATAGTTATTATGTATATTCGTAATTTTTTAAACTAGAACGATGAAACTATTTTCATTGGTTCTTTTGGGGTAGATTTTTAAATACCCCACTAATGTTATAACTGTGAAAGTAACTCTGTTTGTCTTTCTGTCAGTCTTACGCTCCAAAACAAAATAAAAATTTA